TAAAAAATAGGTAAATAATTAATATCTACAATGTAACGGTTCTATACTGAACCGAACTATAATTAAATCCATCTTATACCGATTCCATATATTGGTTCAATAATTATTCATTTATGATTCTAACTGAATCGGAATTAGAACCGATATTATTAGATCAGTTCCATATTGATTCTATAATTGTTTTTTTTTTTTGGTCTTGTCCAGAATCAAAGCATAATTGCTATAGAAATGAAAAATGACAACTACATAACCAATATAGGATCGGTATAGTTAATATTAATTTTAAGAAATCACAATTGAAATCGATATGGACAATAACTGTTTTATCCCTTACAATTATACAATTTTTAACAATTAAAACTGTTTCAATAAAAAAGCTGAAATTACTTAAAGTCTAGTTATTTTTAGTCTAAACGTAGGAAAAAGAAAAGAAATCAATTATTCTAATATTATTGCTTATTTAAATTTTATTATATTACGTTCATGTCTAAATGCGTACACGTCCATTTAAATTCCTTGCACCAGGTGCTTTCATGAATACATTAAAACTTCTTATAACGTAATATTCCTATAACTCGAATTAAAAATTGTATTCCTGTCACTTATATATAACGTTATTAAAAAATTGCTGACTAAACTTCATTTGTAAAACTTCATTGTGACAAGGTTTAACAATTTGTATAATTCAGTAAAATATTTAATTGCTTTTCTATAATACCTTGCGCATTTATATATATATATATATATATAATAACTTTCTTTCTTATATTATTTCATTCATGAAGTAAATATGATTTGTGAAGTAAATATTATTTGCCTTTTTTTAATTTTCTTCTTCTTTCACTTCTAGAAACTGTCGATACAGTACCACTACCTATATATTGCAATAAATGTCCACTTGAGAGATTCTTGCAATGTATTGTAGTTACTCTCAAGAGTGCTTTCAAATTTCGTATCCATTTGAAAACAACTTCTAGAATTTTCATTTTCCAGATAGCTAGGAATACTCTCGAAAATGGTTTGCAATTGTTTCAATCTCAAGTCTCAGAATAAGAAACTGATATGTATTTTCGGAAAAGGTCAATTTTTTTATTAGGATATAAAGAAAGAGTAAAAATTAAAATGATGTAAAAAAAAATAAAGATAAACTAAATATTTGGTTACTTATATTTTGTATTTTAATAAAAATTGATTTTCCATTGTTAAAATATAAAATTTGTGGAATTTTTTATTTGAAATTCCTAAATATTCCATAGTAGATAAAATATTTACAAGCCATCATTTCTGATATTTGAAATATTTGTCAGCATACTTTAAAAGACATTTAAACTTTCACATAGTAAATTCTATTAATTCAGTTGTGTTTGAATAAAAGTTTAATTGAAACCCCTTCCCTAAAAAAAATAGAAAAAATACATATCCATGTTTGAGAAGTTTAATTTAAAAATCAGTTGTACCATATTAGAAGCAGTTACCATATACATACCTAAACGCAATGATGATAGTTTGACGTTGTATAAGTCAAGATGCGTTTGCAGGACCTTTTATCCCGGTTGGTTAATATTCTTGGAAGATCGTCAAAGAAGGGGAAAGAGAGAAATAAGTAAAAAGAAGATTATCGAATAAAATTATACTTGTGCTGCGACTCGCGTAGAAATTTCCAATGCGGCCATATAAATTTACCTGGAGAAATGATCGCTGCCATTCGCCGGAACGAAACTAAACGAAAAAAGTTGAATGAAATTAAACAGAATGAGAGACAAACAGAGAGAGAGAGAGAGAGAGAGAGAGGGAGAGAGAGAGGGAGAGAGAGAGGGAGAGAGAGAAAAAGAGAGTATAAAAGAACGAAAAGATAATAAAAAGCAAAATGAATAGGTATGCTTCTTTCGCGAAAGCAAAGACGAGCAAAAACGAAGCCACCAACTTGAACGTTCGTACGTTTCATTGGAGATAACTCGTTCTTGATTCCCTAGGGTGATACTTTTCCGAGATATCGTAAGGATTGATCGCGTAATCTAGCTTTCCAATCGTTTGCCTCAAGCCGAGATAGATTTTCTAGCACATTTACAACGAGAATAGTTAGAACACCAAATTGGAACGAGGCGACGATGAAAATATCTTTCGAGTGTTTAAATCATAGCTAAAACAAAATATTATTTTAATCAAATCATTTAATTAAATCATGAAATTATTTTCGTGTTAAATGTAACTCGACAATATTTGATGACGTGTAATGTTCAATTATTTTATTTTCATTTATCATTTTGATTGATCTTGAAAATTTAATCATGCTAAATTTATAACTCGATATGGTGTTCTACGCGTAGACAAAAGAGTGTACTTTAATTTAATATATAAATCATTAAAATCTATTCACTTTTAGTATAAAAAATATTTACCAAAACTTTTCAAAGAAATAGCAAAGTTGTACAATTTATAGCATTGCAATCTCTGATATTTCTTTGAAAATGTTTTTTACCTGTATGGGTTGTTTTGGGGGGGGGGAGGGGTTGCGTATGGCTGTGTGTGTCTGTGCCCGAGAAAGTTTTCTTTTTAACGTTGTTTAAATAGTAATTTGATATTCTATAAGATATCAAAATATTATGCCGAGGAATTACTAGTAATGCCTGATTTCTGACTTTGACGGTATCATATATAAAGAAAGAAATATTTCACAATTATGAGAGGTTCCAAGTACCGTGCGTAAAAAATTCAGCGACCAATTTAAATCAGCCGCTTTTAAATATATTATGCAACCGTATAACTTTTCGCAATCGTTTGTGCGCCGACACGCAAAACGGCTCTCAACTTTATACAAGGCGACGGTTACGGCGCTTTTAAATTAGCAAACGATTCAGCATTAACTTTTAGTGCATAAAACGTGCTGATATTTCTAACATAAACTCGTTAAAAGAGGTATTCTTAACATTTTATTTGACAATTATATCTTGAAATATCAATAAATCAAAATTCAAAGGGCTAAATTGATGTGTCGATATTTTTGTACAAAATAATTTTTAAAGTAATCTATTTTATGACTTAAAAAGCAAGAATATTCTTTTTTTTTTTTAAAAAAGTCGAAATAAATGACATGTTATCTACGATTAATGTAAACACAACTGGGCAGCTTTTAACAGTACACTCTCTTTGCTTCTTCTACACGATGAAATAGTTCCACGCGATCGATAACGTACACAGTCGAAAAAATATTGAAGACCAATAACGAGAAAAGAAATATTTCTTTTTATAAATAGAAGGTTTAGTGAACGAATAAGATAAATATGTTCTACCATATGTTTCTTATTTCCCTACTATTTACTTCATTAAATTTATTTTACTAGACTTATTTTACTGGGTTAGTAAATTTTTTTTATTTTTTAATAAATCCCTAAAAAAAAACAGATTTTGTTCTTGCATCTATGAACAAAAACCACATCATATGAAGTTATTGGTGATTATTATATCTTTTTAATTAATTTTGCCCTTTATTTTTTAGATTCAAATAATATTTGTATCAATGAACTGTGAATCAATGGGAAAATTCAATTGAAAATCAAAAAATTGTAAATATACATTTATACTTGTAAATGTAACTTTTTCATTAATTGTATAAAAGTTTTTGTTCTCACATTTTTATAATACAAAGTTAATTTATAATATTTTAAAAAGTTCATTTTTCACCGAAAAATAGAAGATCTACAAATTATTTAAATGGTCCCGATATTTATGCATTGGACTCTTTAAATTCAAATTATAAAAGTGAATACCACAAATAAATTTATTTATGATATTTTGAAGTGTCCAAATGTTTTCAAATATTTTATTTAATGATTTACTTAAAGTAATCAAAAAGCTTTTAAGATATTAAATACTCATCAATTTTCAAAAACCTATCGAAACTCTCGAAACTTTCAAACTATTAGTTGACGATGAAGATATTCAAGAGTTCTAAGTTTGAAATCAGGTTGGAAGTGATTTAAAGTTTCTTGGCGCAAGGGTACGATCGAAACAAGGAAAATGACAAAATACTCGAGAATTTACATGCTTCAAATCAGATTCAAAGTGATTCGAATTTGTCAACAAAATAAATGGAATAAATTCAAAGCAATTCAAAGTATAATATTTTCAATTCCACTTCTACATATATATATAAAAAAAAGAAAATTTATTATTAAACCTTGTATAACCTATTTATTAGGTTACATTTTACTTTATTTGCTAACGCACAATAAAATTCTCATATTTATTTTATATCCCAAAAGTTAATGTTTTCTGATTATAAGTAGTACTTATAATTAGTTCAGTATAATTACAGTAATATGAAGTTTATATTGTTATTGCTGTGGTATATGTTGGTAAGTATTGTAATATTGTAATGTGATATAGTTAAAAGAATATAATAAAAATATATCATAGTTATAACAATATAAGGATTTATTTAATTTTAATTTTGTTCACTTTATTACTATAAATTTAAATTAAATTACAAAATGTGAACTCTATTTTGATAAAATAAAAGCCAAGGAAGAAGGTCGAAAAAATTGATAAACGCATATATGCACCTTTAGTCTACACGGATTGCTTTCGTTGGACGCATATATACGTCCATAGCACTGAAAGGGTAAATTAAGAACATTAGTCTGTCCCAGTTACAAATATCACCCTGTATATCAAAGAATTTGACCAGAGAGAAATTTTGTCACGCGAGAGAGAGAGAGAGAGAGAGAGAGAGAGAGAGAGAGAGAGAGAGAGAGAGAGAAATACGTCGTTCAAAATGATATTCAAGAAAGAAATGATTTTTATTTTTGCAAAAGCGGTTAAAAGAGAAAGAAAGAGAGAGAGAGAGAGAGAAAGAGGAGGAGTTTCGCGGTCTAGCCACAGGAAGTACTTTACATGCAAATGAAAATTACGGGATGCTGGCTATCTCTTGGTCGATTGGTCGCCGCCTTCGGCGTGCAACGCATTGCAGTCCGCACCTCTGCGTGGCTGTGCTATTACAAAAAGAGAGAAAGAGAGAAAGAGATGGATCGTTAGACTCGAGGACGATCGAGAAACGTCTATTAAGTTCATTAGACTATCACGAGCAGAAGATACAAAACTTGTTTTTGCAACATACTCCTCGAGTAAGTACTTCAATGTTCAATGGGTGTGGCATTTATTGCGTGTTTGAAACATTTACAAAAAAATAACACCATTGTTCAAAACTTAAGAATATTGATCGTTAGGAAAATGTAGGAAATGTTAATTTGCTAACACGGTTCCGTTCCGGGTGTACCAATTTTGGTTCGTACCAGAACTTCATTTCCTGTCAATGTAATAGTTTCGTCGGTAATAGATATAGTACAGGATACCAATTGTTGAAAGCACAACTGGCATCAGTAAAGTTATTTGTTTGTTATATAATTCATTGTATAGCTTCAACATCAAATAAATTAACAGTTCCAAAAAATCGTGATAGAAAATGTATCATTTTTATTAAAAATATTATATTGTGTATTTATTGGGGTAGTGGCTGTGTAATAGAACTTGCTCAAATATGACTCAGCACGGAATTGACAATAATAATAATAATTATTACTTTTTCTTAATATGCTTTAATAAAATATTTATAGGTCAATTATATTTGTACGATAAGACATTAGTGTACAATTATCAATAAATGTATATTTTTAGCTACGCCATGACACGGATCATCTCATTCGAACGCTCTTTAGAAAAGATGACGCATTATTCTTATGATCTATCACATAGTTGTCTACATACAAATTATATACAAAAATAGTAATCATATAAACAAACAAAATATAATCTTACCTTCATAAGAAATATGCCGAAAGTCATCAATGGCGCGTATAACCATTATAAAACTGTGCAGTATCATAATGCAGTAAACGTACCACCTTAGCTCCATCCTGACAGCTTTTGGCTTGGTTTCTAAAAAAGGAAGAAAATGAACAATTAAAAAAAAATAAAAAATCCCTTAGGCCAGGACCCAATGAAACAGATAGAAAAGAAACAACTAAAACAAATTCCTATGCGAACTCGTAAGCACTTACTACAATTCTAATTGGAACATCAGTTCAGAAGCATAGTGATTCATACGTGCTTCGGCTAGAAGCCGGCGTGAAAGCTCGACTAATGAAACGTAGATCGTGGATCATGAATCCAGAGAAGGAAGGAACGATTAAAAAGGGGTATAGGGGAAGAGGTAGGGTGTTGGAAGAGGAACGAGAAGGCGGAGCAAGAACGACAAGGCATCTTCTGCACTTCCTTGACATTTACACGTATCGTCGTCGTGCATTCCCCTCGGCACTCGTCGGTATTCCTCGGTATTGGTCGGTACTCGTACGGCCTTGAATAATATCTTCGTGCAAAAGAGCAAAACCGTCCTAGGGTTGCATTTCCACATAACGATTAAATAGGGGCAAAGGGGGAATAGAAACGTATTATGAATAATTCAAATCTTACGCCATCTTAGATTCGATTCAAACGATACGAATTTGAAATCTAAGAAAATCTATCTTTTAGACCAATCAACGACAATCATCGTTGAAAATAAGATGAAAAAAAAAAAGAACGATTGATCGGAGCCGTCCAACGCACGGCCGCGCCGCAGGCCGCGCGTGAAATGCCTTTGCAATAATGAATATATCCGGCTCATTACATTCTACATGTACATTGTTTCACTTCAATTTTGAGCTTAACAATTATCGTTAGAATTAGTACGTTTTTCATTTTTTGAGATCTGAGACAATACAAAAAAGTGACTAAGATCGAATAAATAAACGTTAGGCGTAACAATTAATTCGGTGTCTTTATAACAAATTTATTATAGTATTTATTTATAAAGTAATCATACATCTGTTATTATACGAAGTAGTCTCCATTATTTTCAATTAATTTGGTCATCGGAATTGCAATTATTTACATTAAAACTAGAGTTAAGGACCGAATTAATAACTACACATAATATATAATATTATAGATTTTTTTTTCTTATTATTTTAGGATTTGTTCTTCTTCGTTGTCTTCAAATGTGCTTCAAGGAAGCGTAAAAGTTGGACACCCCTGGATTATTAAATCGAGGCGTCAAGAAGAAACTTAAAAAACATCGCTAAGCATCTAACCTTGCTCGTTAGCCTCTACCTCGTAGGACTAACGTAGGTGAGGACTAAGTTTCTTCTCAGACTTTCAGTTGGCTAGCTAACGGTAACGGCTAGAAGTAGTAAACGACAAGTCTTGGTAAAGAAGAGAGTGTGATTTTCTTTAGGACACCCTGTAGATATCATCGGACGGAAGGACAGTCTCTCTCTCGCGCGCGCACGCACGCGCACACATCCATATAATATATAGAAATACATATAGATGTATACACACACCTATAATAGGTGGATGGATGAATATAATGGCGTGCGCTATGGATGCAAGAGAAGTTCTAGGAGAGGACGAGGAAGAGGACGAGGAAGAGGACGAGGAAGAGGACGAGGACGAACAACAAGAGGGACGGGTATCGGAGGATAGGAGGACAGGAGGATAGAGGAACCGCAGAGGCTACAAGGTCAACGACCTCGCCTACGTTCGCGACTAACTACTTCTTCTTCGAACCCTCTTAAGAAGACATATATTGAGGACCGACTATCGCGAGAAATTTATCCAGTCTTTCCTGGTTTATCCATTCTTCTTACAGGGTCAGTTCACTAGGTTAGTATTTGCTAATATTTTTCATTACAATTTTATTATTTTTATTTCTTCATTTCTTTTTGAATGTAATATAAAAGTATTACACAAAGTATAATTAGTAAATTCGTATATACTATATAATTTTTGATTATTTTTAATATAATAGATACAACCTTGCTTTTCTTAGAAGTACTGAACGTTTATTCAACATAGAGAAAAATTTGTTATATTGAACAAAATACTGATCAAATAAATAGCAATGTCTTTTCAAATGACTTAGATTTTAGACACTCAATAAATATCTGTTTCTTTCAGTCCTTGTTTTAGCAACAAACCGAAAAAAAATAAATACAAATCCTCCAGAGTTTGTTTCTTGTTTGTTAATTTTTCATATTTTTTTCTTTCCTGTTATTTATCTTCCCTGCTCAAAGTCCACCTTTATCGTGTCGTTCATCTTGCAAGATAGCAGAAGAAAACTGTGCAAAGAACGATATTGAGGTTGCGAATCGAGCATATCGAATAAAAGTGAGACACTGTTTTTAACAAAAAAAAATAAAGAATATGTCCAACTACACACAAGAAGTTACCGCAGTGGTTTCACTTCTCTTTTATCCATTGTCTTTCGGCGTCTGTCACCGTGACAGCTCGCTTTCTCGTCTATGAATAGATAGTAGGATAAAGGAGGACACGAGCACCGTAGTAGGCGACGTTACATCGTTACTACGATGTAGATAGATACGCGAGAGTATGCCCACATATTGGTTGCGTATATGCAACTTTAAATGTTAATAAAAGGATTGTATTTTTTTTATTTTCTTATTCTTTCTAATTGATTAATATTTATTCAATCAATATTTTAAACACAATAAAGACTCAGTATTCATAATAACTTTAAATGTTTATCGAAGAATTTTTAAATTTTAATTTTTAAATTATTATTAAAATATATTATACTTAATATATGCTTAAACTTAAGTATAAACTTTATACTTTGAATGCGTTAAATCCAAAATATTTAATTTTTATTTTACTTGTGTTTCTTATTTGCTATTATTAACTTAGTCAGTATTTAAAATATATGCTTAGAATTAATAATAAAATATCAGTATGCAGGAATCTAAACAGAACCTAAAGGCTCGTTCGATTTTTAGCGCCTATCCAAAAAAAAAACGGAAAAAAGAAACCATAAACGAAAAATACTTAAAATTATTTCTTTTTAAAATGCAGCTCTTGGGGATCATTATTCGAATGACCAACCTTTTAACCTTCTCGCTCTTTAATACTATCATTTTTGTACGTGTGGGTGCATAAAAGCTATTGGTCCCCTAAGACAGTGCCTCTTTTGCATAATTCTTAATTCGGCCCTGTCGACATGTAATATAAGTGGTCAGTATTACACCGATTAACACATTCTGTGCCGCTTACTAAATACCTGAACCTCATTTCCTGGCAAAGTGATATTTTTGTGTCAATGACAGATAAAATAAAGAAAAACCATTTATATCAATACAGTTTTGTTGTTGTTACTCTATCATTTACCATAGAAATAAAAAAATTGTCCACTCAAACAGGAAGCTAAAAAATAAATAATTTTTATAATTTCACCAAATCTTATACCATGTACAGTTATCGTTATTTAAAACGATTTGACAGTAAAAATGTGAAATATTCAAACACTGTGAATATTTAAAATAAATGATTAATATTTAGAATAAAATTTCATTGCATATTATTAATACTGAAGAAAATATTCGTATAGAAAGGCTGAAATAAAATGAAATGTTTGAGTTCGTTTAGTAAAGACTCTAGGAATCTTGTATTCTAGAGCAGGTAGGTAACCGAGCACAGTACGTCGTAATACAATGAAATTCCATGTTTATTCCGAGTCAGGAGACCCGCTCGGTTACGTACTAAACGTAAGATATTCTGGAGCGCGTCGAGGTGGTCCCTAGAGGGCGCAGGTCTTTTAAAAGACCGTCGCAATAATACACGAAGGAACGCCACGGTGGTCCCGAAACTTTTTCAAGAGAACACGATGACCCCTTTGGAATATTAATATCCGGTGGTGTGTCTATTAGCCTTGTATTTCCTTTTATAGACCCACACAAAAGATGAGATTTAAAATACCAGTAAAAAGAGAAAGAGTCTCAAGACGTTGGAGACCTGTCCAATTGTTTATGTTCATCTAACTATTTATCTATTTTCTTTTCTATCTATCTAACTATTATTCTGTTAACACATCATTAGCCTTACTTACCTAATTTTAAGATGCCGTATTCATATTTTTAATTTATTCACATTTCAATTCATTTTTCCTCGTCTTAAATGAAGATATAAAGTTTCAAATTCTGCGGTGATACTCTTCAAGTGGAATGAAAAAATTAATTGATTAGTTTTTAAAATAATAGGGATCGCATTGAAGAATAAAGTGAAATTTCACCTGACAGGTGTATCGGTGCATCAACATAAAAAAAATAAGAATAGGAAGTTAGGACGTATTATGTCATGTGATTTTTTTACTTTAATAAAGAACAAGTAGCTTGTCCCTGTCCCAAGAGTCACCCTGTATATATCTATATATATGTATATACCTATCTATCAATCTATCTATCTATTACGTGCCCGAAATGAATTGTGGGCAATTTCAGAAATGGTTTGATACAGCGTATTAGCAATACCGTGCTAATCTAACCTCAGTGACTTCGGTTTAGAGATCAACTGGAAATATCTCCGACTAGAATTTGATCCAGCATCCGAAACACCTCGAGAATTCGAGTGTGCGTATTATATCTCGAGTGTTGAACGTGATATATCGTTGAATCGAAATCAGACACGTATATATATATATATATATATACATACGTAAATGAACCTGAGAGTTAATATAACGAATTTGTTTTCACTGTATGAATGGGAAATAATAAATAGAAAGCTTTCATTATATCGCAAGAAGCACATGGCCAAAAAGAACATGACGTCCGAATACGAATTAAGATTACGATAAAATTAGAGAGAAAAAGAGAGAGAGAGAGAGAGAGATAAAGATAGAAATAATATATCCTATTTCACTATTAAAGACAAGAATATCCAATCGTAAAGCGTAGTGTGTTAACTTGACGTTTATCTGACTAATATTTACGGAAAAAGTGAAAATCAGGGAATAATCCTCCTTCGAATCTACGTACGAATATATATACACGTAGATCAATTGTCATATACATGTATATACGTGTGGGTGGATAGTATGGTTTGCGTCGGTGTGGCCATCGATTCGTCCGTCACTTTTATCGTAATGTATGAGACGGGCTTTCGCAACAAATGATGAACGTGAAAGAGAAAGAAACAAATAAAAATTGGAAAAAAAGAAAAGTATAGAGGAATAGTAGTAGTGGGTGGTGGTGATGGTGGTGGTTGTGGTGGTGGCGGCGGCAGCATTGCATGATCCAAGTCTCAAACAAGCCGGTTTTTAGATTTAAGAAAGAGCTAAGAAAGGAAAAAGAATGGGGAAGGGAGGGTGTGAAATCGCATGATGTATACCTAACATTCACCTATGCACACGTATGTAATACACGTGTAAACAATAGATAACCCACATATATATGCACGTGTACATGCATATAACATACGTGCTTGCAAATATAAAGACACAAATACATAAATACACATATAAATATACGTATGGACAGGGAACACGTGATACGCACACAATTGACATGCATGAAAACATATACACATAGAAAAGAGGCTTTAAAGGCTCAGTCTCTTCCTAGTTTGCTTTGTAGACGATAAAGAGTTAGTGAAAAAGAAAAAAAGAGACAGACAGACAAACAGAGAGAAAGAAAGAAAGAAAGAGAGATGAAGAAAAAGTGTAAACGCCTACGAACATTAAACACAAGCGTGCTCTCGAATCCGAGTCTCACTGTAACGCCTTCATTCTAGACTAGTTACTTAATTTAGCCACGTTAACTAATCATCTTTTATTCACTCGAACGAATACCAGATAACCTCGATAAATCCTCTCTAGGACATCGATTTGATAAATATTCGATCTAATAATATTTGATAGACGTGTACTCCTTCTTCTTCTTCATATTAGGACTCCGTCCTGTTATATTATAGACGTGTACGTGATACGAGATATGATAGATTTTTTGCAACAGGAGTTCTTGTCATACGCCAAAAATATTGCGATTATATTATTTTTAGTTATTGCGATTTATACTTATTTTTATATATAAATAAGAAATATTTGTATTCTTTTATAACTTCTTTTAACATCGATTTACTTTTATTTTGATGAAGTTAGAGATATTTATACGCTTTTAAATAAAATTAACAAATATTAATTGAGAATAAAAGTAAAACAAAAATAACCCCAAAAAGGTAATATTTATATATATAGAACAGTAGAAAAGATTAGTTAATAATATATGATAAAATCTTTTTTTCAATTTTACACTAAAATACGAAGAAACATTTTCCCTGAGTGAATAGCTCTCGCATAATTGATTTCCAAAGTTAATGTTTCCACCGCGTTCC